TCATCGGCGCGCTTTTCAAGAGGTATGGGGTTATCCACCGCATCTCCACCGCCTACCATCCACAGTCAAACGGACAAGCCGAGGTAACAAATAGAGAGATCAAGTCCATTTTAGAGAAGACTGTGAACCCCAAYCGGAAAGACTGGAGCTTAAGGATTAATGACGCCTTGTGGGCCTATCGTTCGGCCTACAAGACGCCCATAGGTATGTCTCTTTTCCGGTTGGTGTACGGTAAACCTTGCCACCTCCCGGTGGAATTAGAGCACAAGGCGTATTGGGCGGTGAAGACGTGCAATATGGATTTGGATGAAGCGGGATCGCATAGGAAGCTTCAAATTCAAGAGTTAGAGGAGATACGGAACGATGCCTACGAAAATGCTCGCATTTATAAGGCGAAGACCAAGGCGTTCCATGACTCTCATATATCACGTAAGTCTTTCACTAAAGGTCAKAAAGTTCTCCTCTATCACTCTAGATTAAAGTTATTTCCTGGTAAATTAAGGTCCAGATGGATAGGACCTTTTGTCGTTTTAACTGTCTTTGAGCATGRTGCAGTGGAAATTCAAAGTCTATCTACGGGGCAAATTTTCAAAGTTAACGGYCATAGGCTAAAGCCGTTCTATGAAGGGTTTGATGGAAGGGAATTAGAGAGAGTAGCTTTGGACACGCCAAGCTACAACAATTGAACCGAGTATGGTCTAGCCAAAGACGTAAAAGAAAGGCGCTGCGTGGGAGGCAACCCATGAATTTCCATTTCTTTTTATTTATTGCTTTCAGTTATTTAATTTACTTTTAGATTCTTAATTTCACTCTTAGATTTCTGCATTCTCAGTTTCACCCCGAATGTTGGACGCTTAAAGAGACGCGCCCATCTCCACGGATTCTTACATTGGGAGGTCACTCATCAAATCAGGGGAGTTTTCTATTCCTTTTTCCTTAATTGTTTAGAGTGTCCTCTAATTATTGCATACCTTGAGGACAATGTATGAATTAAGTGTGGGGGTGGGGTTATTTGCATGAAATGGGTATATAAATGGTTTTAGGGGTCAAATTTTTGCTTTTTGCAAATTTTGTGCTTAAATGAGGATCTTGTCCGTTTTGACAATGTGTTAGCATGCTTTTATTGAGCTTAAATTGTTGATGACAATGAGTTTGGATGCATATATAGCATGATTGAGCTTGATTGATAGCACTTAGAGTGATTAGTGGTAGCATATCGGTCAAAGTAGACTATTGTTAATCTCTTGAACTAGTTTTGAACACCGTGAGACTTTGAGCTTATTTAGACTAAACACTTGATATTAGTCTCAAATTCATTTCTTGTATGATTGCGTCATGCCTAGATATGCATCTCTAGAACTTGATTTTTCTCTCCTTAAGACTACATGATAACTACATGCTAATAAACATGATAAAGGCCATCGTTTGTTCATTTTTTTATGTTAAACCACTAACCTTAAGCCTATCCTTTATGATATGATTATCCTTTTGCACACCACTTTGAGCCTTAGCCTATTTCCTTTGTCACCCACATCATGAACTAATCCAAACACAACTTACCCGACCAATCACCAATGGAGTAGTCCCGGTTTTCYTGTATGCTCAAAAAGAAGTTGTAGTTATATGTTGGATAATTCTAGAAAAGAAAAAAAAAAGTGAAAAAAAAAATGAAAAGGAAGGATGAAAAAGAAGAGAAAAATTCAAAACGAAAAAAAAAAATGATGAAAAGAAAAATTACGTAGTCAATAAAAAATAAAAATAGACGACGAAAATGACGATATGGTTGAATATAAGCGTTTTATCTCTATTCCCTATCGTCCGAAAAGGAATGAGCTTCAAAGATAAATGCAAAAGTCCTTTGTGGAAATAAAATAAAGTGTGTTTGAGTAGCCGAATTCTACGTTGGTGTTAGGTCTTAGTCATTTTTCCTAAATATTTCCCTACCGTACCCAAAGCCTTGTTTTTCGTTACACCTTTTAAGACCTTTTGATTTATAAGCATGTATTTTATCCAAGTAGTGGAGAGTGAGAGACTTTTCAAGTATATGGTAGGTACATGCTAGTGTAGTGACGATTTGAGCGATACACTTTAACCAAGGAGTGAATCGAGTGTTGCTTTGTTAATCCCATTCGTGAGAGTTCTCGAGATTAGCTTGTGTCTACTTGATTGCGTGTGCATCCTCTTTTCAATGCTTTGCTGCAAATCTCAAACTCATGATGTGCTATATGTGTTGACATTCTCGTTAGATTCGATTTTTATAACTACGTGTTAACTTAAGTCATTGCCCGGACGGACAATGATCTAAGTGTGGGGGAATTTGATAGACGTAAATATATACATTTTTACGTCAAAGTACCTTGCGATTAATGTCAATTAGACGCCTAAAAATGTCCATTTTTATTTAAGATGTTATTTAACTATATGAGGCCATTAAAGTTGAGAAAAAAATGTGTTGACTATGTGTTTTTCTTTGGCCCATGACAGCWGCCCAAGTCTAAGCCCATGACAGCAGCCCAAGGCTGCTGTAAGCCCAGACCAGCAGCAATGAGGAGGAGGAAAAAGCAGCCCAAGTTGCTGCCCAAATCAGAAAGCGAGAGAGAGGTCGTGCAGCGAGAGAGGGAGATCGTGGGTGAGTACGAGGAGAAAATGGAGGCTGTCGATATAGAGGTTTTCGAGAGACCTGTCGAAGGCTATCGATTGGCAGCGAGGAGCAGAAAACGAGAGAAATCGAGAGGGGAGGAAGCATCAGGCGGCTGTGGATTGA